TTACCGGCCGTTTTCCTGCGATTGACGGTGATCGCTGACACAGAGCAGGGCTGCATTGTTTACACACAGCCCTGTTCTGTGTCAGTTCTCTGACAGCTTGTGAGAAGCTGCAGAGTTTCTCTCCCTCGATCAGCTCCCCCCCCTTCCCCCGTCCAGTACACACCCCCGCCGCCCCCTAGTAAAACACTCCCCTTACACAGCAAATTCTAAAAATGTTAACCCCTTCCTCCCCAGTGACATTAGTACAGTTTCAGTGTTTTTTTTTCACTGATCACTGTATTGGTGTCACTGGGGATGTCAGTGACCCCAAGTCAGTTCCCCCCCCAGTGTCAAAATGTCCGCCGCAGTCCTGCAATAAGTCGCTGATTGCCGCCATATGTTGCTGATCGGCGCCATTATTAGTATAAATAAAAATTAAAAATTCCAGTATCTTTCCCGCCATTTGTAAACGCTATAACTTTCACGTAAACCAATTAATTTACACGTATTGGTTTTTTTTTTTAGCAAAGACATGTCGCAGAATGCATTTTGGCAGAAATTTATGACTAAATTTGATTTTTGCATTTTTTTTTTTACTGGACATGTTTTATAGCAAAAAGTCCAAAATATTGTTTTTTTTTTTTCCTCAAAATTGTCAGTCTTTTTTTTTATAGCGCAAAAAATAAAAACCCCGCACAGGCGATCAAATACCACCGAAAGAAAGCTCAATTTGTGGGGAAAAAAGGATGTAAATTTCATTTATGTACCGTATTGCATGACCGCGCAATTGTCCGTTAAACTAGCGCAGCGCTATATAGCAGAAAAATGGCGTAAATTGCAGTATTTATACCATAGTTTGTAGACGCTATAACTTCCACACAAAGCAATCAATATACACTTATTGGGATTTTTTTTACCAAAAACATGTAGCAGAATACATTTTGGCCTAAATTTATAACCAACTTTGAGTTTACTATATATTTTTTTATAGCTGAAAGTAAAAAATATTGTTTTTCTTCAAAATTTTTGGCCTTTTTTTGTTTATAGCGTGAAAAATAAAAAGCGCACAGGTGATCAAATTACACCGAAAGAAAGCTCTATTTGTGTGAAAAAAAGGACGTAAATTTAGTTTGGGTGCAGCATTGCACGACCGTGCAATTATCAGTTGAATTAGTGCAGCGCCGAGTAGCAAAAAGAGGCCTGGTCATTAAGGGGGGTAAATCCTCAGGAGCTCAAGTGGTTAAGGACACCCTGAAACAGATCGCAAAATGCAGTGCAATTACCAGAATTCGCATTGCATGGGTATGAACACCCATACAATGTGAATCAGGTGCTGGAAAAAAAATAGGGTCTTGCACCTTTTTGGTGCGGGTGTGATGCGATTTGAGCCATACAAAATGTTTTGGCTCAAATCACACTGCACAGATATCGCATGTGATGTGCACAGGAATGCAGTGCGGTTCCTTTGCAAGTCACATGTAATGTGCAGCACCTCATTAGTGTGAAACCCGGGTTAAATCTGAGCTCCAGGCCAAATTAAAAGATACAGATTATCACAGCCTTGTAACAAATAGTAAATAATTTGAGGCATTTTAAAGAGATTCTGTCACTTTAAGAATACTGAAAGCTGTTATGAAGATTTCAGGTATGAATTATGAAGCAGCTTTCAGTATCTTCTGGTCTTAATGCTAGACTGTCATAATCAGATAAAGTTCTGTTTGCCATAGCTTGCTGGAAAGCCCTATGTCCCTATTGAGTTAAAGCTTTGCCCAGTAAAAAAAATTGTGGGCGAGAGACAGCTGTGCTGAGTGTAGTAAGAATGCACACAAGTTTAATGAAAATAGTTTAGCAACTCACAAAATAAAAGGCTATGTGGCACTTTATCACACAGCAAACAAAAATTGTGAAAAAATTATTGTTCAGAAATTTAAAAAATCCAGTTTACAGTCAAGTTTACAAATCCAGTCTCATACACTATCCAATTATTATTATTATTATAATACAGTATTTATAGAGCGCCAAAAGGTTTGCTCAGCGCTGTACATTATAGTGGGGAAAAGTACATGAGACAATACAGTAACAAAACAATACACGAGGGGTTCGAGGGCCCTGCTCTTTCGAGCTTACAATCTAGGAGGGAGGGGATAGTGGCACAGGAGGAAGTGGCTGTGGGGGATGGAGTGGTAGGAGGAATTCCAATTCGGTTACCAAATCCTTGCGAAATAACCAATACTCTTCACTGTGAATAAACCTTGAGGTCAATAAGCATTGGAGAGGGGGTAACTTCATTAGAAAATTGAGCCAAAGAGAATCATGGTGGACTCTTAAAACTAAAGTCTTAATTCCAGGAGGACTCAATATACAGTCTGATCTGAACTGTTTTATTAGCAACTCTTGATTCTGTTTTTTTTTATTATGGTATATGGGACTTGTAAATTGGACTTTTTTAAATTTTCTGAACAATAATTTTTTCACAATTTTTTTCACTGTGATAATATTTATTTTAAGGTTTTGTATCTATATATGTATAAAGATTTATGAAATATTATCATTACAAGTCACTTTAATATTATAGCGCTTCACCATTTGTTTGATCCATTGTGTGCATTCTTACTGCACTCTCTTAATTGTTTTTAGAGTCGCTTCTTGCTCTGACAGCTGGCTGAACTCCTACAAAGTGCTCTCTGAATCCTTTCTCATCTATGGACTTATGACTATATGGACTTATCTACCAACTCCTCCTAGCCTTGGTCATACCATCCTTCTCCCCCCCCCCCTTTCCATCCCATTGTTGCCCAATCCATCCCCTTGCTCAGTCAAAACAGCCTGGCTTTCGGATAAATCAGAGACTACTGAGAGTTGCTGCAGACACCTTTGGGTGCTTTCATTTGATGCCAATCAGCAGGTTTTAGGTATTCTTAAAGTGATAGACTTTCTTTAAATACAAGTAATCTAAGTACCTGAGGCGTCAGCAGTACATTCCAATATTTTAACAGAGAAAGTGGTGTCATTCATTTTGCTATGCTGTGTGGCAGGGCTGTGTAGATCTCGAGACTAAATAGATATAAATGTAAACCCTCTGGCAGGTAATACAGCTCCTTTAAATGTATTTTATCTGTGTATTTAAATGTATGCCTGGAGTTTCTGCTCTAACAAATGCTGGCACTGTTGTTGAATAGTGTGTTCAATCTGGTCACATTTGTTTGTGCATATCAGACTGTGTAAGATTGGCCTATGTTATTCTGCAAACCTCACCTAAAAAAAAAATATGTTACTCCAACATTTCCTGATATTCCTGATATGTGCCTGCTGTACCAAAAGGTATCCTCTTCTTGTTGTATTGCTTCCTTTATGTGAAATCCCTGATGTTCCTGCCAGTCACTTTGCTTTCCTATTAAAATCTAACCACACTAGGCATGAGAGCACAGTGCGATCAGTTTTCTGGGAACTCAGCCTGCTCTCCACCAATGATCAGACTTCTGCTGACACATTCCCCCTATCTCTCCCCCCCCCAAGCCACTCACTGGATGGACCAGTGTGCTGCTGCTCCTATGTATATTATCACTTATAAAAAAAAAGAAAACAAAAGGTGTGTGTATATATATAAATATATATACACATGCATACTGTATGTATATACTGTATATATATATATATATATATATACATACATACACACACTATGTTGCCAAAAGAAACATTTATGAAAGAATGGTTCCCTCTCAGGTGCTCAGTGAATTCAAGCATCGTACCGTGATAAGTTGCCACCTGTGCAATAGGTCCAGCCGTGAAATTTCCTTGCTACTATATATTCCTCGGTCAACTGTTAGTGGTATTATAACAAAGTGGAAGCAACTGGGAACAACAGCAACTCAGCTATGAAGTGGTAGGCCATGTAAAATAACAGAGCAGCATCAGCGCATGCTGAAGCGCACAGTGCGCAGTAGTTGCCAACTGTCTGCAGAATCAGTAGCTAAATACCTCCAAATTTTGTGTGGCCTTCAGATTAGCATAAAAGAGCATAGAGAGGTTCATGGAATGGGTTTCCATGATAGAGCAGCTGCATCCAAGCCTTACATTACCAAGTGCAATGCAAAGCGTCAGATGCAGTAGTGTAAAGCACGCCGCCAGTGGACTCTAGAGCAGTGGAGAAGTGTTCTCTGGAGTGATGAATCATGCTTCTTTGTCTGACAATCTGATGGATGTCTCTGGGTTTGGCAATTGCAAGGAGAACGGTACTTGCCTGACAGCATTGTGCCAAGTGTAAAGTTTGGTGGAAAAGGGATTATGGTGTGGATTAGTTTTTAAGGGGTTGGACTTGGCCCCTTAGTTCCAGTGAAGGTAACTCTTAAGGCATCAGCATACCAAGACATTTTGGACAATTTCATGCTACCAATGTTGTGGGAACAGTTTGGGGATGGCCCCTTCCTGTTCCAACATGACTGCGCACCAGTGCACAAAGCAAGGTCCATAAAGACATGGATGAGCGAGTTTGGGATGGAGGAACTTGACTGGCCTGCACAGAATCCTGATCTCAACCCAACAGATGACCTTTGGGATTAGAGCGAAGACTGTGAGCCAGGCCTTCTCGTCCAACATCAATGTGCCTGACCTCGCAAATGCGCTTCTGGAGGAATAGTCAAACATTCCCATAGACACACTCCTAAACCTTATGGACAGCTTTCCCAGAAGAGTTGAAGCTGTTTTAGCTGCAAAGGGTGGGCCAACTCAATATTGAACCCTACGGGCTAAGACTGGGATGCTATTAAAGTTCATGTGTGAGTAAAGGCAGGCGTCCCTGTACTTTAGGCAATACTATATATATATATATATATATATATATATACACCGTATATATGAATACATACACAAACGTTTTGCCTTTCATTTCTAATTCAAACTGAAGTGAGGGTTCCTCAACAATCCCATCTTTCACAACCTTTATTAATAAAAAGCACTGTAAAATGGTGTACATCATAATGAGGTGAAGGTCTTCTATTCACAGTAAATCTTTTATTAATTTACATTTTCATTTTTAGTTTTAGTCCTGGTGCTGCTTTGTTGTAAAAAGATCCTTTCCAGTGGAGCCCGCTTGCATCTACGTATTCACCTTCTCCCATCATCCTGTGAAGGTAAAAAGTCAGAGTGAGACTTGATTCTGTGTGACACGCACTTCATGCATGAAATGCTCTAATTTACTGTCCTAGATGTCTATTTCTGCTACAACTGATTGTTCTCCTAAACTGGATTTCATGTGACAGATTACTGTATGCGATAAATGTAATATTATTTGAAGTGGATTTTAATTAGCAGGATAATTGGCTTCAGAATAATATTTGGTTTAAAGCTAAATAATTTAAAACAGGATGAAAATAGTTGCATATACAGGCAAAAAGGGAAAAGTCACAAACGTTATATGTACTTTTATGTGTTTCAGAGGCAGAAAAATGGATCAAGCACTTAAAAGTGGCCAGCCACATGTTATCTCAGTCCTCTGGTGTTGAGGTGTTGCCTAATTCTTCCTCCCATTTTTGGAGATATGTGAGAGGAGTTGGGAAGGCAGCAGAAAGATATATGGATGTGATTATACCTGGGAAGTGTGGATCATTGTTGTGCATTGACTTGAAGGGGATCAGCGTCTGCCCATTAAAACTCATAGTACTGCTTGGAGTGTTTTAGGCCAGGCTTGGAGGTAGGGACAGCTTAAGGACTTTAGACATTTTGATCACATAAAGGTCAGAGAGGGGAGTAAAGTTGTGTATCAGTTTGAGAAAGTTGGGAGAGAGGAGATAAGATTGGTGAGAAACATAATTAAAAGTGGTTGTAAACCTCAGACATGAATTATGAACAAAGCATGTCCCTCTATAGCAGGGGTCCTCAAACGTTTTAAACAGGGGGCCAGTTCACTGTCCCTCAGACCGTTGGAGGGCCGGACTATAGTTTAAAAAAAAAAAACTATGAACAAATGTGGAAACAGTACAGGAGATGACCAGAGACTGCAGACATACAATGGCGGCGGGAATACTGGGCCGGCCACTCCATAAGACGCACAGACAGTTCCCCCCAAGTGTGTCTTATGGAGCGAAATAAACGGTAAATGCAGGACACCTTGTTGGGTCAGATCTGTGTACAATGTAAAAAGAGAGAGGAGGGGGAGAGAGAGAGGAGGGGGGGGGGGAGAGGGGGGAGGGGGAGAGAGAGAGGAGGGGGGGGGAGAGAGGGGGGAGGGGAGAGAGAAAGAGGAGGGGGGAGGAGAGAGGAGGGGGAGAGAGAGGGGGGGGAGGGAGGAGAGGGGGAGAGAGAGAGAGGGGGGGGGAGGAGAGGGGGAGAGAGAGAGAGGGGGGAGGGGAGAGAGAGAGGGGGGGGGGGAGGAGAGAGAGAGGAGGAGGGGGGAGAGAGAGGGGGGGGAGGAGGGGGAGGAGGGGGGAGAGAGAGGGGAGGAGGGGGGAGAGAGAGGGGAGGAGGGGGGGGAAGAGAGGGGGGGGAGGAGGGGGGGGAGGGGGGGGGGGGGGAGAGGAGGGGGGAGGGGGAGAGAGAAAGAGGGGGGGAGAGAGGAGGGGGGGAGAGAGGAGGGGGGAGAGAGAGGAGGGGGGAGAGAGAGAGAGGGAGGGAGGGAGAGACAGGGGGGAGGGGGGAGAGAGAGGAGTGGGGAGAGAGGGGGAGAGAGGGGGGGGGGAGAGGAGGGGGATAGAGAGGGGAGGGGGAGAAAGAGGGGAGAGATAGAGGAGGGGAGAGAGAGATGGAGGGGGGGAGATAGAGGAGGGGAGAGAGAGAAGAGAGGGGGAAAGAGAGAGGGAGGAGATCGATCATCTATTGCACTTATCAAGGGTCTGTGGCCGTGATACCCGACATGGAGCGATGGAGTCTCCTCTCTTGCTCCCCCTCTTCATGGTCAGCTCTAGGCTCCACCCTCCGGCCGTGACGGTTGCATGCATTGATCAGAATAGATGGCCGGCTGGCTGCAGAGAGGCCAGGTGAGTGGTGCGGGTTCATAAGCCGAGCCCACCTTCCCCTGTTCTACAATTGCTGATCCCGCCCTCCTGCCTCCCGCCCGAGCCCTGCCGAGCTCTCCCGACCTGTCAAACCCTAGTCCCTTGCCTCGCGGCAGATACGCCCCTGCCTGGCGGGCCGGATAAATGTCCTCGGCGGGCCACATGTGGCCCGCGGGCCGTAGTTTGAGGACCCCTGCTCTATAGTGTGTACTTGTCTCAGTTCAGAGCACCAAGTGTAATTTAAATTGTTTTCTCACAGACTACTGAAGAGAAATCCTTGCTCTTCTAAGAGAATGGTTGTGTTCACAATAACTAACACCTTACTTCCAGATGCCTTTGCTTAGAACCACCCCCACAGGGTAATTGGGGGACAGCAGGCATAGTTACACTAATTAACATAAAGGAGCCTACCCCTTTAAGAGCAACCCCCATTCAGAGTCTAATTTAGTGATGGAGTACAATCCACTCCGCTTCACATCATGGAATGAGCTTTAGGGACCATATGCACAATTGTTTTGAAAGAGTTTTCCCCCCATAGATATAATATCTGAAAAACAGCCTACTGTTCCTAATGTCCCCAATGAGACAATTAGTTCTTGAAATATATTTTATAAACTTTATACATTTTAGTTGTGAATTTTAAAATTTTCATTTTGTAAATATATTATTTATTTCTATTTTTACGTTAATTTTAATAATAATTTCCGTTTGTATCTTAATTTGGCATTGGTTAAGGGTTTAACTCTTCAATCCATGTATTAACATGTTTGTATAATTTTTAAAAAAAGGTTCTCATTATTGTTTGCACCGCATATCACTCTGTGATGAGGTAATTTGTATTGCCTATCAGATGGGGTTGTGCCACTAGTTACCGCGCCAGTATATGCAGGCTTATCTTCAATAAAATATATATCATCACTTTTTCTATTTTCTTTCCACCGTTCCAACATGGTTGGCCATGTTCCCGGAGCCATCCAATTAGAATCAAAGATAAAATTTGTCACTTCCTGAAGACGCCGCTGGGCAAAACGTATGTCGAAGTGTCACTATGTCACTTCTGGGTCCGGGGACATCCAGCCATGGTGAAAGCGAGGCTTGGAGCGCACGTCGGCCATCTTTGACATTCACAAGCTGCAGATACTGGTGTCGGTATTATAGGCACCTCTCCATGTGAGTGCAAAATCGTTTGTTTTTTGCTCAAAATGTGTATTTAATATATGCTACACTTAGAAAGATTTTATATCTGTCTGGTTTATCTGAGTGGCCTGACACCACATCTCCTTAACCACTTCAAGTCCGGACACTTTTACCCCCTTCTTGTCCAGGCCAATTTTCAGCTTTCAGCACTATCACACTTTGAATGACAATTGCGCGGTCATGTAACAATGTACCCATATGAATTTTTTTGCATTTTTTTTAGACAGATAAAGCTTTATTTTGGTGGTATTTATTCACCACTGGGATTTTTATTTTTTTTTTGCTATGTAACTGAAAACTGTCTAAAAATTTTGAAAACAAGTGTTTTTCTTATAAAAGTTTGCAAATAAATAATGTTTCATCATAAATCTTGGCCACAATTTATTCCGTTATCATTTTAGTAAAACAAAATAACCCAAATGAGTTTATAACCAAAAATTATTAACTTTTTAAACATTTTTTTTACATTTTTATTTTAATTTTTTATATTATTATTTAGGTTTTTTTTTTTTACATACTGTCACCCTAGCAGTACAGTGTCACCATGGTGACACTGTACTACTTGTGGGGGGTGATGAAGATTTTTTTTTTTTTACACTGATTGCTTTTACACCAATAAAGGCTGTACAAACAAGCATTTCTCCTTCTCTCTGGCTGCATTCTTGCAGCCATTGAGAACAACTGTGTAAGCTGTGATTGGTCACAGCTTGTCACATGGTACAAGGCTGTTGTGAATAGCCTTGTACCATGTGACCTCTGTGATCATTCACAGATTTCACACGTTGTAAGCAATGATGTCAGAGTAACATCTTGCTTACTACTCTTCATGTGATCACTGATTGGCCAATCAGTGATCACATGATCGGGACCTCGCACAGAGGTCCCATACGACGATCGGTGTTTCACTGTGTCTGGAGGACACAGCGGGCACCGGATCATGGCCCTGCGTGCTCCCAGGGAACGTGCACAAGCAGGTTATAAATGGCACAAGCAGGACATTTATAAATGGCCACCCGACCCTGCACTGCCACCGTCTGGCCGTTTATATACAACGGCCAGACGGGAGGTGGTTAAGGATTAGCAGGCATTGAATACCTAGATGAATTGAAGAGTTTGCTGAAAATCCCTTTGCCTTAGCTTTTGGCATTATCAATGGAAAGCTGCTGGAGGGGAGTAACATTCTAGGAAAGCCTGAGAGGATGTTCCCTATATAACCAAAAAGCGCATCTAACCACTTTAATTGGGGTTTAAAGGTCTGGTGAGTGAGCAATTTATATATACCTTGCCGGCACGTGGTGAAGATACAGAATCACTCACTTATTTGGGTCACAGCATAGAGCAGTGATGGCGAACCTTTTTGAGCCCGAGTGCCCAAACTGCAACCCAAAACCAACTTATTTCTTTCAAAGTGCCAACACTGCAATGAAACCTGAATATCGAGCTTTTGGTTTAGAAAAAACAACTCGTACAGTAGTGCAAACTAATTAACAGTACAGGGATGACCAGAGACTGCGGACACAGTACAGGGATGACCAGAGACTGCGGACAGTACAGGGATGACCAGAGACTGCGGACACAGTACAGGGATGACCAGAGACTGCGGACACAGTACAGGAGATGACCAGAGACTGCGGACAGTACAGGGATGACCAGAGACTGCGGACACAGTACAGGAGATGACCAGAGACTGCGGACACAGTACAGGGATGACCAGAGACTGCGGACACAGTACAGGGATGACCAGAGACTGCGGACACAGTACAGGGATGACCAGAGACTGCGGACAGTACAGGAGATGACCAAAGACTGCGGACACAGTACAGGAGATGACCAGAGACTGCGGACACAGTACAGGAGATGACCAGAGACTGCGGACACAGTACAGGAGATGACCAGAGACTGCGGACACAGTACAGGAGATGACCAGAGACTGCGAACAGTACAGGAGATGACCAGAGACTGCGGACAGTACAGGAGATGACCAGAGACTGCGGACAGTACAGGAGATGACCAGAGACTGCGGACAGTACAGGAGATGACCAGAGACTGCGGACAGTACAGGAGATGACCAGAGACTGCGGACAGTACAGGAGATGACCAGAGACTGCGGACAGTACAGGGATGACCAGAGACTGCGGACACAGTACAGGGATGACCAGAGACTGCGGACAGTACAGGGATGACCAGAGACTGCGGGCACAGTACAGGAGATGACCAGAGACTGCGGACACAGTACAGGGATGACCAGTGACTGCGGACAGTACAGGGATGACCAGAGACTGCGGAAAGTACAGGAGATGACCAGAGACTGCGGACAGTACAGGGATGACCAGAGACTGCGGACATAGTACAGGGATGACCAGTGACTGCGGACAGTACAGGGATGACCAGAGACTGCGGACACAGTACAGGGATGACCAGAGACTGCGGACAGTACAGGGATGACCAGAGACTGCGGACACAGTACAGGGGTGACCAGAGACTGCGGACACAGTACAGGGATGACCAGAGACTGCGGACAGTACAGGGATGACCAGAGACTGCGGACAGTACAGGGATGACCAGAGACTGCGGACACAGTACAGGGATGACCAGAGACTGCGGACACAGTACAGGAGATGACCAGAGACTGCGGACAGCACAGGGATGACCAGAGACTGCGGACAGTACAGGAGATGACCAGAGACTGCGGACAGTACAGGAGATGACCAGAGACTGCGGACAGTACAGGGGATGACCAGAGACTGCGGACAGCACAGGGATGACCAGAGACTGCGGACAGCACAGGGATGACCAGAGACTGCGGACAGTACAGAGATGACTGCTGACCTTTGGGGAGGGAGGGGGAGCGGGTACCTGAATTTGACAGGTACCCGCTCTTACTTCCGCAGAGTTTTTTTTTTTTATCTTACCTGTTCCTTTATCCAGCCGCGCTCTGTCTTCCCGGCTTCTGTAGTGTGGGCGCTCATCGGACAGCCGGATTCCCAGTGCGCATGCGCGAGAAGCGCTGCGCTTTGTGATTGGTCCGGCGGCTTCTGGGATCTGTCATGTGTCCCAGGTACCGCCTTACCATTCACAAAGAGCACTGCTTCTTGTGCATGCGCACTTGGGACCCGGCTGTCACGCACACTACAGCCGGGAAGACAGCGCGCCGCTGGATTCTCCTGGCGTGCCCACAGATAAGGCTCGGCGTGCCGGCTGTGGCACGCGTGCCATGGGTTCGCCATCACTGGCATAGAGGAATAGAAAGGACTGTCACTTCTTTCAAAACCTTAACTCACTTTTGGACTTTTATTGGTTTTTATGCTTTTTGTGTTCTTTGTAAAGTTAGTGGAAAATATAGCACCCACTATAGGTGCAATATTTAAAATGTAATGGTTTGGTTTAGGGACATGTTGTGAAACAAGCCTCCTATATGTTCATGCACATTATTTATGTAGCGCCTGTCTATTTAAAATATTGGTATGTGTAATTTCTGTCTGTTGCTTTGTTCCTCTGCTATCAGCATGAATCACGTCTGACAAGTTTTCCCAACACCAAGAGAAAAATGTCAACAGGGGAAGGCACAGCCTGTGAAAGCCTTCTTTCTTTCTCCCCTTCCTTCTTTCTTTATTTCCCTCTCCCTTTCCTTTCTGCCCTTCCTTCTCCCCTTCCTTCCTTCTCCCCTTCCTTCTTTCTTTCATTCCTACTCCCATTCCTTCTTTCCTTCTCCCCTTCCTTCTTTCTACCCTTTCTCCTCCCCTTCCTTCTTTCTTTCCTTCTCCCCTTTGTTCTTTCTCCCCTTCCTTCTTTCTTACTTTCTCCCCTTCCTTCCTTTCTTTCCTTCTTTCTCCCTTTCCTTCTTTTTCCCCTTCCTTCTTTCTTTGTCCCCTCCCTTCTTTCTTTCGTTGTCCTCTTCCTTCTCCCCTTCTTTCTTTCTCCCCTTCTTTCTTTGACCCTTCTTTCTCTCCTTCTTTCTTTCATTCCTACTCCCATTCCTTCTTTCTTTCTCCCCTTCCTTCTCTCTTTCTCCACTTCCTTCCTTCCCTTCTTTTTTTTTTCCTTTCTTCCCCTTCCTTCTTTCTGCCCTTCCTTCTCCCCTCCTTTCTTTCTGCCCTTCCTTCTCCCCTCCTTTCTTTCTCCCCTTCCTTCTTTCTTTGTCCCCTTCCTGCTTTCTTTCATTCCTACTCCCATTCCTTCTTTCTTTATTTCCTTTCTCACCTTCTTTCTTTCCTTCTCCAATTCGTTCTTTCTTTCCTTCTTACTTTCTCCCCTTCCTTCTTTCTTACGTTCTCCCCTTCCTTCTTTCTTTCTTTCGTTGTCCCCTTCCTTCTCCCCTTCTTTCTTTCATTGTCCCCTTCCTTCTCCCCTTCTTTCTTTCATTGTCCCCTTCCTTCTCCCCTTCTTTCTTTTTCTCTTTTTCTTTCTCCCCTTCTTTCTTTCATTCCTACTCCCACTCCTTCTTTCTTTATCCCCTTCTTTCTTGCTTTCCTTCTCCCCTTCCTTTCTTTCATTCCTACTCCCTTCCTTCTTTCTCCCCTTCCTTCTTTCATTCCTACTCCCATTCCTTCTTCTTCTTTCTCCCCTTCTTTCTTGCTTTCCTTCTCCCCTTCTTTCTTTCCTTCTTTCTCTCTTCTTTCTTTCTCCCCTTCCTTCCTTCTTTTTCCCCTTCCTTCCTTTTTTTTTTCTCTCCCCTTCTTTCTTTCTCCCCCCTCCTTATTTCTTTCCTTCCTTTCTTTCTGCCCTTCCTTCTCCCCTCCTTTCTTTCTGCCCTTCGTTCTCCCCTTCCTTATTTCTTTTTCTTTGTCCCCTTTCTTCTTCTTTCATTCCTACTCCCGTTCCGTCTTTCCTTCTCCCCTTCTTTCTTTCCTTCTCCCTTTCTTTTTCTTTCTTTCTTTCCTTTCTCCCCTTCCTTCTTTCTACCCTTTCTCCTCCCCTTTCTTCTTTTTTCCTTGTTCTTTCTTTCTACCCTTCCTTCTTTCTTACTTTCTCCCCTTCCTTTCTTTCCTTCTCTCTTTCTCCCCTTCCTTCCATTAATTCTCCCCTTCCTTCTTGCTTTCGTTGTCCTCTTCCTTCTCCCCTTCTTTCTTTCTCCCCTTCCTTCCCTTCTTTTTTTTTTTCTTTCTCCCCTTCCTTCTTTCTCCCCTTCCTTCTTTCTTTCAATCCTACTCCCATTCCTTCTTTCTTTCTCCCCTTCTTTCTTTATTTCCTTTCTCCTCCCCTTCTTTCCTTTTTTCCTTCTCCCATTTGTTCTTTCTTTCTTCCCTTCCTTCTACCCTTCCTTCTTTCTTTCTACCCTTCCTTCCCACCTTTCTTCTTTCTTTCCTTCTCTCCTTCCTTCTCTCCTTTTCTTTCTCCCCTTCCTTCCTTCCTCCCTTTCCTTCCTTTCTTTTGCCCCTTCCTTCTTTTTCTCCTTCTCCCCTTTCTTATTTCTTTCTCCCATTCTTTCCTTTCTTTCCTTCTTTCTCCCCTTCCTATTTTTTTTCCTTTCTTTCTCCCCTTCCTTTCTTTCTCTCCTTCCTTTCTCCCCTCTCTTTCTCTCTCCCTTTTTTTCCCTTTCTCCTTCCCCTTCCTTCTCCCTCCCCTTCCTTCCTCCATTTCCTTCCTTCCCTCTCTTTCTTTTCCGTCCTCCCTTCCCTCCTTCCTCCATCCATTTCCTTCTTTCCTTCCTCTCCCTCCCTTTTCTTCCTTCCTCCATCCCCTCCCTTTATTCTTTCCTCCCTCCCCTCCTTTCATTTCCTTCCTTCCTTCCTCCATCCATTCCCTCCCGCACTCCCTTTTCTTCCTTCCTCCGTCCCCTCCTTCCTTTCTTCATTCCTTCCTCCATCCATTTCCTTCCCTCCCTCCCCTTTCTTCCTTCCTTCATTCCTTCCTCCATCCATTCCCTCCCTCCCTTTTCTTCCTTCCTCCCTTTTCTTCCTTCCTTCCTCCCTCCCCCTCCATACTTTCCTTCCTTCCCTTCCTCCATCCATTCCCTCCCTTCTTTCTTTCCTCCTGATATAAGGGGATACAGGTTCTCTTTATTTATCCCCATCTAATGACAACCCAACATATACTAGTGCTCCCTGTTCACTCCCTACTGACACTGTCCCCACAAAATCATTGTGAAAATAATAATACACAAATAAATTGTAAAAAATAAAAAAATTAAATACTAAAAATAAAAAGATTCTGACACACACGTCATTGCTCTACTGACACCATTCACGGGCCACCCAAAGGCATTTTGAAAAAATGATAAAAATAATAAAACATTACATTGTAAAAAACAAAAATCATAAAATTGTAAAAAAATAAATAATGAAAATAAAAATCTACTGACACCATCCACTGCCCTACTGATACCATCCTGCACATACTACCCATCGCCATACAGTCTGCACTCCTCTCCTTGGACATACTACACACAGCCATACACTCCTCTCTCTGTACCTACTGCCCACCACCATGCACTCCTCTCCCTGTACATACTACCAACCGCCATACACTCCGCACTCCTCTCTCTGTACATACTACCAACCGCCATACACTCCGCACTCCTCTCCCTGTACATACTACCAACCGCCATACACTCCGCACTCTTCTCCCTGTACATACTACCAACCGCCATACAGTCCACAGTCCTCTCTGTCACATACCTGGACAGCCTGACGTGAAGAGGCAGTCTTCCCATAGAACTCCAGCTCAAGGACTGCTGATGGTGAGACAGCGGTCGCAGGGGTACGGTGGGGTATGAGTGCCTGAGATCAGTCCAGTAATAGCAGGTGAGCTGATGAGTTGCAGGCAAGGAGAATGGTTCTCATGTAGCCATGCGGGATGGATGGATACTCAAGCGCAGTGTGCTGAGGATGCAGGGTCAGATGAGCCACGTTCGGTATCAGTCAGGCAAATCATGCTTACAGCGGC